GTGCTAGTTGGAATCCCACTGTTCTAACCAGAAGAATCCAATCACCAATCGAACACACAGAACATGGAACGAGGGGTCCACTGTGACATCAGAGCTGGCCCAGGCGGCCCCAGGCTCCCTGAAGGCCTCAGTAGGTTCCCCCTGCAGTAGGTTCCTCCCCTCCACCTTGGTCCAGGGGTGAGCAGGGGAAAGTGACAATTCCCTGTGGACTTTCCTCCCTTGCCTTAGTTGGGTCAAGTTCAAAAAATGCCATTTTGGGTCTCACTCAGTAAAAATCCATCAACTTTGACATTTATGGGACCAGAGAGATATCAGCATCAGAGAGTGATGAGTTTTAGATGCCTGCACTTTAGACGAAAGGTGGAGGTTCTAGTCTCTTCTCCTTTATGGCAACTCAGTGTCCCAGACAGGCAAAGTGACTCACACAAGGTCACACAGCTGTCACTGCAGGTTTTCTGACATAAGCTCGCAGTGGTTGCACATCATCCACAGACGCCTCGAGTCTACCTTTTCAAGGCCAAAGAAGCAAGATCGCTGAATTGTTCCTAGAATCCATTGGAAACAAGTCAAAACACATGAAAGCACACTCGGGTTCTTCTCACCGTGATCTTGAGTGGCCAAAGCCATTGTTCACAGGTGTGCTTCTGTTTTCCTTGCCCAGAGCATTTCACAGGGACAGAAATCCTGGGGTGTGGACAACCAGCAAAGGAAGTCACCAGGCTCTTCATCCCCCGTGGGCTGCCAAGCAAGACCCAGTGCCTAGCCAGTCTCCACAGAGATCCAAACACCCAACCACAAGGGCCTGATCGGAATATCGAGCTGGCAGCCAACCCACCTCTAGCTCATCTCCCACGAAACTCCCTCCCCAAAGAAATTGCAGACCCCTCCCCCTAAATCCTGAAGACCAGCCACGGAGGACCAGTCATGGAGCATTGCTAAGGTGCACTGTGCTAAGTGGCCATGAGGAGACGCAAAGGTGTTGGAGGTGATTTCAACAGCATCTCAGCCCCTTCAAGCCTCTCCCAGCGCAAATCTGAGATGATTGGCCGATTGAGGGCAACAGGAGTTTCCCCAAAACTAGCATTTGTTGAAAGGCAGTTACCACTCTGCCCTGGGACACAGTGATAAGCTAGAAGTTCATTACCTCTTTTAGGTAGGTGTGTGTTATCCCCATGTGCAGATGAGGAAATGAAAATTTGGACTTAAGAGGCCCATATTGAGAAAGTATTGTAGGTTTCTACCTGAGATCCACCTGGCCTAGAGGTTGTATAGGGTGACCTTGACTGTCTATGACATTTCCTCCCCTACTCCCCAGACCCTGGCTGTCCTTCATATAGCCTGTGCTCTCTCCTCTCCCTGCAGACTCGGATTGTATGCCTTGGTTTCCTCCTCTCCCTGTTCAGATAAGCTTGTCCTTTTTCTTCAGCAAGCCCAGGGAAAGCTCAGCTCTACCAATAAGGTGCTAGCATACCTCATTTCTGATAACAGGATCCCCAGTGCCTTAGGGTATAGTGTAGAGTGGGAAGCTGACTACAGTCTCCCCAAATGGCGTGTTTCCTAGCCCCACACTGAACAAGGTAAGTGTGACCTGAAAACAGTAGAGGTGATATATAGCATCGTTGTTTTGACTTTGCTGGTTACCATAACGTAGAATAACATGGATAGCATGAAATTGTAGGACTTATCTAAAGCTGGCATAGGTTTTGTTTTTTTATTTTATTTTATTTTATTTACCTTGAACTGAGGTCATATTAGGATAAAGGACATGGTTTGTTTTTGGTTTTGTTTTTGTTTTAAGGTTTTGACCTACACGGCTATGGAAATGTATAGATCCTTCTGCCATGAGAGATCTATATTTTCTTCATACACTTGTGATTTGAACTTTCACAGGCCTGCAGGGTTATCGGAGGCTGGCACTTGACAATAAGTTTTGTTCCTCTGCATCTTTCTCCCAAGACTTCACCCAGAGGGAATTCCATAAACTATGGTCTAACACAACTTGTTTTTCATTCTTAAGGAAACATATTTTTGCTGTTCAGTCAAATCTGCTTAGCCTAAATGTAGGATTGAAAGTTGTGGGTTGGTTTTTCACACAAAAATAGGGGAGTTGAAGGAGGGCAAATTGCTGGAATAGAAAGCAGCACCATAAATTGTTATTCATGGGAACCTACCATCTCAAAAGAGTTGGACTAGAATTGTACCTTTGAGCTCTTCACTGAAATGTTATTTTCTGAGCAATGACAAAAATTGCTCTGGAACATTTAATCTTCGTTAAAAAGAAAACCAGTGCCAAGACCTTTATCATAAAGCACACCAAAATAAAGAAGTCTCATTTAAAAGCCAACTAGTACCAGGTTCTGGTCACACTATTTCAGAATCAAGTCAACTCAAACACCTATGGGTTGTTCTAGTCTCCAAACTTATCAGCGTGAGACTTCCTTTCAGGCAAGACCTGCAGAAAAAGTGGAATTCTAGATATTGGTTGAACTTGCAGGCTTAGGAAAATGTCTTCAGCTGACCATCCTTCCTGCTGATGAGGTTTGCTGAAAGACTATACAATGAAGTTGTGTGCATTTTCTGCCCTAAAAAATAAACTTCAAGTTGGGGGTGGGAGTGGGGGTGAGGGTAGAACAGTTGATAGGAAAAAAAAAAACAGATCTTTGTGGACAGTAGGGTTAAGACTAGCGCTATTACCATCCCAGCTCCCAGCTCCACCCCCATGGAATTCTGGGGAGCACCTGAGTCATCCCCTCCCAGTTCATGTCTGCCACCTCCAATCACATCAACCACAAAGGATAAGTGTTAAGGGGAAGGTTGTCCTAAAGGAACTCTGCAGTCTTATGGACTCCACCCCCTACTCCAGCTTTCTGGACCCTACACACCACTCCAGTGATTGGAAAACTACAACTCCCAGCAGTACCAGGGAGAGAACTGCGAGGACCCACGGGCGGAGCTAAGCAGGCTTCTGGGACCTTGGGGGATAAATAGAGAGCAAATTTTCAGTGGTCACTAGGGAGAGGTAAGGGCTCCCTCTCTCTCTGGAGCAACTGCTCTCAGACCGTGTGACTGGGGCTAGCAGTGTTAGTTTGTGACCAGAGCTCCAAGTTAGGCGAGCTGGTAAGATATTCCAGTTACTTTGTATCCCTCTCTCTTTCCCTAGGTTGTTCCTTTTCCTTTTCCCCTTTTGTAAATAAACCCATTGCCCTTGTGTGTGTGTGCAGAAAATTACATTTTAAGCCCCGGGATGAGACCCCACAGATAGGCAGCCCAAGTTCACTCAGGGCTACCCTGTAACAAAAGGAGTTTGAGTTTGGAAGTTTAGATTTAGCTACTCATCCAAGGGAAAATTCACCAAAAGGGACACCTCCATTACCTTCTCCCATCAAAGAGAAACTGCCTGTAGAAGAAACCACATGATGTTTGTTTTTCACAGGTAGGACTGGAGGAGTGATGTAGTTAGGTCACTCATGGGAAGAATAAGGTACATGGTGTCACAGGTGACCTGTCTCAGGTTAACATCGTCATACAAGGTAGAACCCAGCCATAACGCAGGGGCCCTCCTGCGGGCCGACCACTTGCATTTGCATCCCCACTCTTCCCACTGATGCAGACTTAGCCGAGGCAGTGAGGGCGATATTAGCGACGTTTGAAGGACTTGTGCAGGATCTCAGCAAGTTCGTTTACAGAGAGGCTGAAGAGCTTGGAGAACAGCGGGAATGTGAGACGACCCGTCAACTCGCGCACGTGTGCACATAAGCACGCGGCAGGGACACAGAAGCAGAAACGGAGTACGCTGAGTTGAGTGGACAGCAGATAAACCCAACTCACAAGGCCGCCCTTCCAGCGTCAGCTGCAGGACTTGCGGTCGGCCAGCAGAGGGCGCGCCGCCCCCGAAGAGCCGAGTTGTGATGATGCCGAACCCCGCGGGCTAGCGAGCCGCAGGCTAGCGGGACGCGCCCCTGCTGCTCGGCCACTCAGGGTGCAGGAGCCGGCCAAGGAGGAGGAGGTTAAGAAGCAGACCCCCCTCGTGGGCGCGGGTAACAGACGGAGCCGGGCAGGAGTGCTTCCTAGGAATTACATCACGCTGCGCAACGCTGCAGCTCTGGGACTCCGAGTTGCAAAGTGTGGCGGTGTGGCGTGGCGTGGCGTGGCGTGGCGTGGTGTGGTGTGTTGTATGTGTGGGGGGGTGTGTGCGCGAGCGCACGCGCGCGGGTGTCGGGGGGGAAGGTGAAGGGACTTGGACCGAGCCTGGGAGAGAAGAAGGTGAGACTGGAGACGCACACCGGGAGGAAAGCCCCGTGCACATGGAGAAATTCCTAGCGCCGAACTGCACAGAGAAAAGAACCCCCAGCACCTCCGGCTTGCTCCCCTCCCAGTGCAAAGCAACCCGCTAGTGAGAACCCTCCCAGCCCCTCCTCGAGCACCCCCCAAGACCGGCCCTGCACCCTCCAGCCCGCCGCGAGCTTTACCCGGGACTGGCCCTGGCGGGGCGCCTAGAGCCCCAGTTGCATTGCTCCAGGAGAAAGGAGGGGGGCGGTGCATTTTGCAGGAGGAGGAGAAGGGGGGTGGGTGG